TTTAATTTTAATTAGTATTACCTTTCTTGAAATTTTGAAATGGAGTTTAAAAATCTCTTTCCTTTTTACGAAATTATAATACATTTTTAAATTGACTTTACTGTATTTCATTTTTTTTTTTAAATTAAGATAAGTTCAAAAGGGATCAATAATGAAATATTAACTAATTATTTTTAAATTTTTCATTTTCAAATTTTTTTTCTTGTAATGGGTTCCATATTTTTCTTATTCTAGTTTAGTTAGTAGTCCTCGGATAATTATTTCCATGTGTTATCCACCTTTTTGGCCATTCTGACGAAAACAGTGTTCTAAAAAGTGGATTCATCTTAGGAGGTAATTGTAGGCATTTAAGTTATTTCATTACAAGATTTAAGCAATAATAAATTCCATTATTGCTATTCCATTCTTTGTACATGCCCATTTTACTTAATTCCAAACCCAAATTCGTGCGTCTGGACCATGTTATCGATGTATTGTTTAGTCAGATATTACAATTCAACTATGAATCATAATAACAAGAATAACAAAATATATCAACAGTAAAAATTAAGATAAAAGTCAATTAATATTAAACGTGACAATAATGTATATCACTTACGTAGTGAGCCATTAATGTGTACGGACGTTGAAGTGTTCAATTATTTAAGAGTATTATTTACTTAATGCCGGAGAGACACGTGTTTGTGATAAAGAAGAAATCTAATGTCCATGTTCAGTTACGTACGTCTACTGAGACAGAGTTGCGCTGGAATTTTTCTTTCTGGAGTGGCTGTAATACTATTTTTTTTTCATGAAATATCAATATTGATATATTTTCCAAATATATATGTATATATATATATATATATATATATATATATATATATATATATATTAATTTTAGCAGTTTCTATTAATTTGAGAGAAATAAGGAACACAAATTTTCTCTAGGCAGTCTTTGTAAAATGACAGAAACGCTACAGAATGTTAATGAGGACAAAACACAACGAAATAAGCAATTAAAACAATAATGAAGAGAAGAATAGTTGGGATGTTCAGTCAAAAAGGAAGGCAAAAATAAATTATAATATTTATTTTTTACATATGCCGACGTTTCGACCTGAAGTTCAGGCCTTCATCAGGGCTAAGAAAATAACCAGATAACAAGGTATGAGAAACATAAGTAATGATGGTAAAAAAGATAATAAAAAAAAATAAAAAAATTTAAAATAAAAAAAAGTTATTAGAAAAATAAAATAGATAAATATAAAGTAAAATGAAATTGTTAGAATAATGACTAAGAACTAAGAGATAAATAATAAAAACTGTTACAAAGTGTGGAATGATGAAGTAGGCATAATCAAAAAGGGGTGACAAAAGTGTTACAATGGGAATCTTAGAATAAAATGTAAAACATAAAAAGAAATGTAAAGTTATATAAGAAATGAAAATAAATAGTAAAATTAAAACATTGAGAATGGAGTAGTTAGATAGAAAATTGAGATATTGTAAAGTCTATCAAGATGTACAGACAATGTATAATATAATAAAGAGTTAAAAACAGAGAAAAGGAATGAAAGGAAGGAGGGAAGAAATTAAGAAAGCTGAAATAAGAAAGAGATAAAAGAAGTACTACCTGTCTCCTTAAGTGTCGAAGGGAGAATAAAAGTCGTTACAAGGGAGGGGGAGAGAGAAGAGATGTGTAAACGAAGGCAAAAATAAATTATAATATTTATTTTTTACATATGCCGACGTATTTATTTTTTACAGATGACGCCACCTACACATCTCTTCTCTCTCCCCCTCCCTTGTAACGACTTTTATTCTCCCTTCGACACTTAAGGAGACAGGTAGTACTTCTTTTATCTCTTTCTTATTTCAGCTTTCTCAATTTCTTCTCTCCTTCCTTTCATTCCTTTTCTCTGTTTTAACTCTTTATTATATTATACATTGTCTGTACATCTTGATAGACTTTACAACATCTCAATTTTCTATCTAACTATTCTACTCGCAATATCTTAATTTTACTATTTATTTCCATTTCTTATATAAATTCATATTTTTCTGTTTTACATTTTATTCTAAGATTCCCATTTCAATACTTATGTTACCTTTTTGATTATGTTTACTTCATCATTCCAAACATTGTACAGGATATTATTATTTATCCCTTAGTTCTTACTATTGCCATTATTCTAACAACGGCATCTTACTTTAATTTTTATGTTTCTCATACCTTATATCTGGTTCTTTTCTTAGCCCTGATGATGGCCGAACTTCAGGTCGAAACGTCAGCATATGTAAAAAATAAATATTATAATTTATTTTTGCCTTCCTTTTTGACTGAACACCCCAACTATTCTTCTCTTCATTATCCACGACAGTCAACCAATTACCAATTATTAATTAAAACAATAAATTTCTCTTCTCTATTTATGTAACTGAAATGAAGAAGAAGCAAAACTGACCAAATTGGACCGTTTTTTCGTTTAAAGAAGAGTGTGTGGTTGGGCCGGAATAACATTTAACTAAACCTGGTTAACGCTGCGTAGCAGGAGGATCAACGGAGAGATGGGGAGGGAGGGTACTCGGGCTGAAACCCCTCTAAATGGTAAAATATAACCATGTCTTGTGAAAACAAATATCTTCAAAAGTATTATTGTTCGTGTAGTTACATTTAATAAGACTTCAAGAATCACTTATACACCATTTTATAAATAGGCTGTTTCTTTCTTTTTCTTCCAAAGTAATTAGTGTTATATTTATATAAAAAAATGCTTTCGGATTGAAGCCAACCTCCCAAAATTAAACCCTAGATCCGCTAGTGCCCTGAGTCGCTACGTTATACATTCTTTCTAACTGATCATTAAAAAAATTCTGAATCAATCCATTTTCTGGAATGAATTATTGACTCAACTGGCCATTTGAGCCGAACCATTGTTTCATGATGTCATGTCTTTTTCATATGGTTCATGATAATTTTACATGACAATCTTCATCTGATAATCTTCGAAATTGGATCTTACATTTCCTCTAGACCAACTACCTCTGGATAAATCGGTTTTGCATCCGATTTTTTGGACTGTATAAAATCGCTCTTATGGTTTCTCCAATACATTCAATTTTCATCACCAGCAATTACTAAATTATGGTCGATAAATTTCTATTCAACATCATACCCGCTCAATGCTCAACTCGTGGGAGCCACTCTTGACGAATGATTCATTTCCCTCAAGTCACGTAACCCACGAATTGTGGTCATTTTCATTGGGACTACTTCAAAAGAGTTCCGTTGAGACTCGTTATTGAAAGACGATTTTTATTTCCCCGACCGTCTACTCGCACTGCTTTAAGAATGAATATCCTGTTTTTTGATTAGTTTATTGGTCGTTTCGGCGGTGGTTTGTAAATCGTGGCCTGTAACGGTATGGGATTTTATTTTGTATTAGAACTTCATAATTTTATCCGCAAACTTACCTTTTAGTTTTCACTGTGCTATAAAAATTGTCTTTATCATAAGTTTCACCGATTTGTAAGACAGAGATGGGTTTTGCTGAGATATAGAGAACCTTTTTTTTACAGCATCAGCTGCATTGTTTTCAACAATATGGCAATGACTGGGTATCCATTGAATAATGACATTCATGCCCTTTTTAATGAGGAGAAGTCATCGGAAATCAAGTTTGGATAAAGATGAGCAATCTTTTTCACTGGATAAGGCCTTGCGAATCCATTAATATAACGATATATCTAACCTCTATGACCTTTAATGCTTCTAAAGCCAGGAGAATAACTTCCTCTTCTCCATCAAAATTTGAACCACGTTTGCTTATTGGCTTATTTATTTGGAACTGGTCTGCGTAGACCCCAGCTCCACTATTGCGAGTCGTGGCCTGTGCCGAGCCTTTCGTATAAATGCGCATCCAAGAACTTCAAGGATATCTTTGGTCTATTTTTTTTTAATATATGAAATTTCAAAATTTGTGGTTGCGTATCCTTTTTGTTAACAAGCGTAAGAATAAAGGATAAAGGTGTATCCTTTTTGTAACTCATTCTAAAACGAGACGCAACTTTAATCAACAATAAAAACGTATACCTACAAACTGTACAAAAGACATTCAAATGAAGAATATTTAATAAATTTGATTATAAAAATGTTTATCCTATTTAAAAAAATATTTTGTGTCCTTGTGAGCGCTGTCAGTGTTTGTTGGCAAGTATGTCGCCTAGTGGTCCTAGCGATAAATCTGGTTCCTTGGAGTGGGCTGTATCAAGGCCGGAACTAAGATTTTTTTTCAGAGTGGTTTGGAAAGCTTAATTTTGCCGGACCTTGTTTCACTCTAACTATCTCAAATAAAAGTCAGCAGTATTTTAGGTAATATATATAATAATCTTATAATATTAACCCCTTATTTCGTCTGAATTACGATCCTATTAATAAAAAAAAACTGAAAAAAATAACTCTTTATTTTACTTAAAAATCCAATATCGTTAAAACCTCGTACCCTATACATTTTGCCGTCCTGTGCAAGTGCTAATCATGAGGAAGTTATTTAAAATTATCTTAATTTGTTTTTCATTTGATAAGCTATGGTTATGTTCAATAATCGACCTGTTTTTATATTTAAAAATTCGTTTGAATGAAAAAATAGTTTTCTTCCTGATTTATCTAAAAATTGCTGCAACGGCCAATTGTCTAGTTTAGTCTTTGTGTAAATCCGCGACTGTATATCCGTTATAAGCAATCGTTTTTAAGATTTTTTTATTTGCATATTTCATGTGCCTGATTTTCCATATTTTTAAGTAGGGTTACATGAAGAGCAAATCAAAAGGATATATCACTTACGGATATTAGTAATCACTTTTTAAGAGGGGATTATGATTGTGCTGCATGTATCGATAATGTTTTTAGCAACTTAATGTAATGTTCATAATTATTAATTATTACACTAATACGTTCGAAGTCATACTAAGATAAATACTTTTGTTTTGTTTCAGATTAGGAATTTTCTCACATAAATATGATAAGATTGGCTCTATTTCTGGTGTCTGTTTGGAGTTTTCGAGCTCAAGCAGAATATTCCGATTCGGTAATAGACATTTCTCATTACCAAGAAGAATTAGACTTCGCTAAAATAAAAAACGACAGCATAGTCGCAGTCATCCATAAGGCGACTGAAGGCCAAACGTACGTGGACGGAACTTACTGTGAACGACGGATAGAGGCAGAGGAAGAAGGGCTTTTATGGGGAGCCTATCACTTCGGCAACAATGGAAATCCAATTGGACAAGCTGATCATTTCTTGGAAGTGGTCGGCGAAACAGAAAACGTTCTTCTTGTCCTGGATCTGGAGGAGAACCGGGGAAACAATATGACTCCTGATGGGGCAGAAGAGTTCGTCAAGAGAATAAAAGAAAAAACCGGGAGGTTACCTGTCTTATACGGAGGCAGAATCTTTTTAGAATCATTCAATAGTGATATTCTGAATGAATGCAAATTATGGATTGCCAGTTACACTTCTGATGACGAACCAAGGTTACCGTCGCATCGCGACTCCTGGGTGCTGTGGCAGTACACCAACGGCCAGGTGGGAGGAATCCCGAGGTCGGTGGAAGGTGTCGGCTACTGCGACAGGGACAGGTACAACGGGACGGCCGAGCAGCTCGTCGAACTTTGGCCTAATTTGTAAAATTATTTGTATTAATTGAAATCTATTTTGTAATATATGATTAAAGATACTATTTCGCTGGTACTGCCTATGGCAGCGAAATAGGCTCTTCTCTATTCCATTAAAACAGTGGTGAAGTCGGCACTACCAGCGAAATAGTTCCTTAAGAATCACTAACCAGATATTAATCATAGAAGATAAGAAAAGGTGATAACAGATGCTGATTTGAGTGGATGGTTGTTTACCGGTCTTTTAGAGACTCAATGCTTTGTATTTGAAATCTTCTAATTCTATTCTAGTAAATGTTAAATCCTACTTAAATTGTGAACTTCAATATTGTTGTTATTGTTATTCTCAATATTAAAATGATTCTGTAAATATTTATACTAAATATAAATTGATTGTCAAGAAATTTGGAAGTTAAAATGATTTCAATTTCAGATGAGACCATAAGACTATAACTCTTACATCAGACTATAATTCTTCATGGAATCTGAAATGATTGAGCCATTGGTGATTATCATTATGTTATTTTTTCTTCAAGTAAAAAATTAGCATTCTCCCTGGAAAGTCAGGAAAAGAAACAATTTACGCTTAACTCAAAAAGTATATGATTTATAGTGGATTATATCTCTGATAATTTGAAGGGTTCTAAATTACCTATAAGGCTACTAGAAAATCAGAACATTATCAACAAAGTACAACATACTGTAGTTTGGACTCAGGTTCTGTTTAATTATTTTGAATGAACCATTGTGATTCGACCGAGGAAAAGATACGCCCCGCTGCTCCCATCCGGAGATAGCTCCTCCGAAATCATACTCGTAATGATATATCAGTAACACAGCAAACGTATTTACACGATCATATATAAACAACAGGATATTTCACGACCACCTTTATCACCATCCTTACTTCTCTTAATAGCTAAGAAAATACAATTTCAAATGGCAAAAGATCGAGCAATTATAATTTTTTCACGTTTGGATGGCCGTTAAAAATTCAAAAATTTGAAACTTCGACAGAAAACCGGGAATTAATTTGATTAAAAAAATTATTAAAATTTTTTGTTCACTTTATATCATGGAAAGATATTTATATGGCTCTCGAAGACTAAAATACACTGCTTTATGTGAATTTAGCTATCTTAGCTTTATTTTGACTGCTAATTGACATCTGATATGTCTACTGGGTTCTGACTGAAGTTTTGATATTAGAATTGACCTCCATCTTTTTAGAAAGCACAGGTATGCCAAAGCAATAGTAAAAAGGTAAAATAGAACTTATATGCTTAAAAATAGTGGATACAAAATTCTATCAAAAGCTTCGTATGCTAAAAAAAAAAAAAAAAAAAAAAAAAAATCCCTGAGTACAAAAGTATCATCTGATACCATTCGAAAGGACATTCTTATTAATATATAATGTACCAAATAATACAACACCCTCACATTAATTTTTGTTAGATGGCAATTCTGTAATAACGAACCCGCTGGATATATTCATGAGCTTTTATCATCCGAATTATAATTCCATTATTACAGTAATAGCCTAGTATTAATTACATGTTACAAAAATGTTTCTATACCATTATGTTTCTATAATAAATATAATGTTTTTCATTTCAAAGAAACGTCTATAATTTGATTTATATTTACCCTGTGAAATTTCTACCGCTTTATCTCTAGTAGTATTGGCTCTTGAGGGAACAATGTATTCCAATTTTGAAACAAATTTAACTATAAGTTGAAGTACGTGTATGATTATATCAGCCAAAAAATATGGCATTCATTGTCATGTCAATGTCATTGTCAAAATCGGCTAAAACTACTTACATTTTTTTTTTGTGAATTTTTCGAACATTTTAACAGGTATCTTGGTATAAATAAAAACAAACTTGATTCATTTTGTGGTAATTTTTTTTTTGATATAAATTTATTGAATATTAACAGAATCTGCCGCACTCAAGAGCAATAAGCATTAGAGTTAAATCCACTCATACAATATAAACATATAAGAAAAATAATTAAATAAAAACAAAAGATATAATAAATAAAAAAAATTATTCTAAAGCTCATTCACACCTATATACAATAAGTTGTAAAATTAGTTTAATTTAAAAGAGCATGTTGTCGTTTTAACTTTCAAATCAGGTTAACCTTGAGGGTCAAAAGTGACTAATGCGAAAAGCTTTAAAAAAATTGTGTTTTTTTAAAGATATCAAAATTATCCGATGTTTTGAACTGAAACTTGTTCATTATCAGACTTTTATCACATACAGGGAGCGGGGTAGCTCAGTGGTAGGGTACTAATCTTCCAATGACGAAGGTCCCAGGTTCGAATCCCGGCTCATAGCAGAAAATTTATTTATCTGTTTCATTGGCCGTGGGGCGACCCTGGGTTAAGGAGACCTTCCTGGGGCACACCTAGCCTCTAAAAAGTGGATACCCTTAATTAAATAATTGATTAGGGGGAAAAACCTGGCGGTTGAGCGTGATCCTGGCCCGATTCCCTCCCTGCACAACCGTTAGCCTTATAACAGTACTTTTCCTGAATAGTACTGAACCCAAGACCCTTCATGGGCTGTAGTGGTACAAGTTTTTATTTTTATTTTTTTATGACATACAAAAAATCAGATATACTTCGTTTGATGCCATTTTACAGAACTAGAATAGAATCGAATAGAATATATATTTATTTGTTTTCAGGACTGGCATCTTACAAATACAAATGGAGTGGACACACACATTTTGATTATTACAATATAATATTGATAAATTAATTTCCTATACTGAAATCAAAGTAGAAATGGAGTGGAGTACGCACATCGTGATTATTAATATATAACATTATCAACACAAAACACATCAATAAGCAAGGAATACTACCTTTCAAACAATATAATATAACATAATGCTATGTCTTATCCCAACCAAAGGGATGACATTAAAAATGCTACGTTTTGGGGTGTTTAAATTTATTCGGGATGCCACTGGATAATTATTGAGGATAATTATCCAAAATTATTTAATAAAAGATTAGTTAAACAAATTTGGTTCTTTAACATATTTGTTTCATGGTTAGTTCATTGGATTTCTTTTCTCAATGGCTGATTTGTGTTTATCATGCTTTCTAATTACCTACATTACCTGTGATCATCATGACATGAATGGGTGGCAAAATTAAAATAACTTTAACTAAAAAAACTTAATTTATTTCTATGTGTAACAAAGAATTTGTACACATTATATTTACTAGAACAAAATACGTGATTCAAAGAATTCAATAATTAACGGTGAAAGCATGATTTCTGATGGACTGTTTTGAGAATTGTATTGCCATAAAATAATCCAACATTGGTAAATTTATTGTTGGGAATAACACTTATCTCTTGTATATGAAGTAGTGTGGTTGGTAGATTTCATTGCTGCATCCGCTGATCCGAGGTCATCTTTTCAAGGCCAGGTCCAAAAACTTCTCCAAGACGCCCATCTGTGTGGTCTATGTAGGACCAAGGCCTCAGTCCCCCCACCCAGAAGAAAACATCTGACCTATCCTCCAGGCCGAAAATCCACATAAGTGAAGAATATATATAACTCAAGAAAATTTCTTGTTTCTCGGTAGATTTTATACAAACTTTTCAGGGTGACGCAAGGATGGTTTCCATTGGTTCCTAACTTCACCCTATTACTTCACAATAACTGGTAACACCCTAAAAGTAACCAGTTACTTAGCCCGTTACTCATTTTTACTCGAAGGGTCCAGGTACATTTCGGTCCTTGTCTACCTGCTCCACCACCTTGACGCAGTTTTTGATGTCAGAAGTCGGCTTCGTTCACCTTTGTTTTCTGCACCTCATAATAATTTTAAAACCTCACTTGCTATGTTGAGTACATAGCAATAATATAATATAACACAACGTAAAACAACCCAGTACGATACAACTCTATAACCACAATACCACACCAAGTCACACAACGGTATATTAGAGCTAATTATTACATCAACCACACTATATGACGCTACAGGATACTATAATTACAGGAAATCACTACTACAATCGAAATGTTCTATAAACAAAGAATATACAAGAGAACAAATATTGATAAACTATAATTATCTATATATTTTGGATAAATGCTCTTAAATTGAAGCTATAAACAGTATAATAATATAAACTGGATATCTGCTCTCTACTGATTGTTTTTATAAATGATGTAAACATGGAAGGGGTCATTGAATTTAAGGTGGGTAATAGTTCTAGCTTATACGAATTATAAATGGGACAGGTTATGAAAAAATGATATAAATCTTCCCTCTCGTTCAAATTACACAACGAGTATAAACTTTCTGTTTTGAGTGTTGTGGTATTTTATGACTCAACTTAAAAAACTTTGTTTGAAGTTCTTATCTGCGTTATAAGTTTTATAAATCTAAATAGGGCTGGGGATGTAAGGAGTTTGAGTTTATAAATCTGGATCAAAAACTAACCTGTAATTTGGGCAGTAGGTAGAGGATTCCATGTTTTGGATATATCTATACCTTGCTTTTAATCCGTTTTATTACAACCGCTATCTGCGCAGTTCTTGATTCATCACGTGGGTTACAAGAGACAATATCGTCAACATCATGCCTATGCCTCCTGAGAAAGTGTCTCACCTGTGATATCCGATTATATTTCAATTCATTGGGATATTTCCCTGCCATCTCAAATAGCCCAAGTAAGCATCGCTTTCGATATCTTGTTTCTTCCATATTACAAACTCTGTCCAACAAACTTAGGGCGGTCTGTCTGACTAAGAAGGAAACATCTAGTTCCTCTCTCGCTAACCTAACTGTGTAATTTGGAGTGGACGCATGGAGGGATGATAGCCTTTTTAAGAACGCCAAAAGGCATTTTTCAAGAAATTTTACAGGACTAACTGACCATTATAAAAAATGTGTACTTCGGTGCACTTTAAGACTTTCTATTCCTATTGGGTCAAGAGGAGGCATCAAAGTGCACTGGTTTCTACTATATATTCATATTAATTATAATATAATTATTCATAAAGAACTATAAATTTTCCCCAGTAAATAATTTATTTAAAATATTAATTTTTGAGATTAAAGTAAACTTTACTTTTTACGTAAGTTTTAAAGGTTTACAATTAACTATATTTTATGATATATTTATTTATATTATTATTTTTATAGGCACCCATAATTATTTAAAAATGAAACAACTTCATTATAATTAACAAAATAATAGTTATTATATTAAATTATAAAATGAATTGTATTAGAATATTTTATTTTATTTGAATTAAGTGGAATTTTAGGTATTGTTCTAATAAGAGATTTCGGTTCTATTTTTATGTACATCACATTAGCTGGTAGTTTTCAGCCTGAAAAGTGATATGAATTTAAAAATTAAATTAATAATAAATTGACGACTAATTTTTTATAACTGAGGAAGACGGGTGCATATTAAAAATTCCTCTATGATTCATACCACTAGCGGATCCAGGATTTAATTTTGGGGAGGGGCTTCAGCCCGAAACCTTTTATTTTCATAAAAATAACGATAATTACTTTGGAAAAACAGAAAGAAACTAACTACCTTTATGAAATGGTATTTAAGTTATTCCTTAAGTACTTTTAAATGTAATTACACGAACAATAATACTTTAAGAGGTATTTAAAAAAAAAATTTTCCCATAAAACATGGTTATATTTTTCTATTTTGGGGGACTTCAGCCCGAAAGCTCCCTCCCCCCCCCGTAGATCCGCCCATGATACAATAATAAAAATGGCATTTTTGTCCACTGTACTTTACCCTGGATGCGTGGTGGTCTTTCAATATATTTTTGGTTTAGTTCAATCCAATTAAAATCACTCTCAGGTTGTTTATATTGAGTTAGATAACATTCTGCGACAAAAATACATTAATATTAATAATAAAAATGTTTATTCACACCATTTTTACAGAAAATAAAAATAAATAGACTAATCATCCAGAAGAACTCCAAAGCAGATTTATCACCCTATATTTGGAGGGATAAGCAGGATTTACGGAGATTTCAGCGCTTCTCACTCTAACCGCTTCACGGTCATTAACAGCCAGTTGCGGTAAAAAAACACACACTATAATAGTGTGATATTGATTTATAGCCTCAGTTTCGACCAATGTTGTAGGTCTTCATCGGGACGTGGTCTAACATGTCGAGAGACTCAGGGACGCAGAATCAATTTAACTGTGCCCTCAATTCAGATTACGGTCAATCATTCACGTACCA